CCTCTGCTGAATGTTTATGCTAGTTGCATTCATTTGCTAATGAATAGAGTTACAGAAATACAATGTGTCTATCTTTGCATTGTGATAAAAAATTGAGTCATGTCTACTAAATGGTGACTTATATATACATTTTTAATTTCTATCTTAGACAAAAATGTCTGCCAGTGGAGATGCCCTGACATAAACCCCCCTAGTGATTATCATAGCAATGATTAATTTAGTCTATGAATAATCAATACAGAATTTACAAGACATATTGTGTACTTATATCACATCTTCTGGCGTTGGGTGTTTGCGTACATAACAAACATTTTTTTAATATTGTTGAGAGTAGTGGGGTACCTTGATTAGTGAGACAGGTGCTGGTAAGGAATGTTCTCAAACCAAGGATCAGCCCTAACTCTGGACATTTTATTATTGTTTTTACTTGTTGATTTATTTTTTATGTTAATACCCAATACATTTATTTTAAGTCTTATTGGCTGAAACTCTGTCTACTTCCAGCAAAGAAGGGTCACCTCCTTTAGTGGGTAACAGGCATTTACACCCAGAGCCAGGTTAATTTACAGGCTCTGAAAAAGGTGATAAATATATATTATATTTACCACTTCACCCATGGTGTCTTATTTACTACACTAGAAGTCCCTCTCCCTGCTTTCTTTTTGAGCACAGGGAAACCAATGAGAAGAGGGAAAGGTGTCACCAAAATACACCAAAGCGATTGTAATTTGAGCCAGTCCCATACTTGGCTCTTTATTTGTGAGTGTGTTTTCTTTATATTTATAGTTCATTTATTTTACCTTATGTACTTCACCATTAGAGTATTTGTATTTTTTTAAAATACATGTGAACTACATTTTACATACCCCTAATTTTAAGGGTGAGTGAATACTATTAAGCGCTCCATTTAAAGGTTTTTTTGAGGGTTCATGTCAACTTGTCAAATACCTTATGTACGCTATATATTATATTTGGTGGATAAGAGAGATTTCCACAACAATGTTGCAGCAGCTTAGAGTGGCATTTCAGACACTTTTTTTTCTTTTACGTGCCTAATTTAATGCACAGAGCATTTTTCACAAAATGTCTATAGAATACACCTATAACGGGATCGTTCTTTTGACTGGTGATCAGGTCCTCACTAGGAGCTTCTTGACTCCATTGCACAACATTTTAGTCAGCATTACCTCTAGTCTGTCGTCTAGTGAATTGAACCCATAATATCATTGGTGTTTAGGGTTTCACCATTGATGGCAGCTTGTTTTGCCAGTGAACCGGCTAAGTCGTTACCTTCTGTGTCAATACCTTGTATTTTAGAATGGCCTTTGTTTTTTTTTTTCCAATATATGATTAAACCATTTTCCTTAACTAATTCATCAATTTTACAAAACAATTTCCCATTTTTTTTTAACAGATTTGTTATTGTTTTTTAGCATTTTGTTATGTTTCCTGCTAGGCAGATATTCAAAAAAACTGTTAACAACATAGTTGGAATCAAATATAATTCAAATGCACGAACGGGTGCCATAGTCACATGGCAAGAGGCTGGCAAACAGGCCCCTTCAAAAACCAGTGGTGAGGTCACGTTCGCCACAATGCTTATGAAAGGAAGTGCTTTTCAGCAAGACATTGTCCACGTATGATAACCTTCCTCTCTCAAGTGTGTCAGGCATATCTTTATGCATGAACACAACAAATTCATGACTAGAGTTTATGTAGCCGAAAGGCATTCGGGTCCAGGTATACTGTTGAAATGTGAAAGCCAATTTGTATTGGTCTTCATCATGGACTGGTACCGTCCAATATCCCTGGACACAGTCAATGGCAGTGAATATATACATACATAATGGGTGGAGTATCTCGGTCCAGGGTAACCGATGGTAGTACAGATACAGATACAGATGGAATAACTGCAAAAATACAATAGTAGACAGGCACCTAGTGCAATATCATACAGTATAAGAGTGATACAGTTTAGAGCCAATATAGTTGTACTCACAAGGAGAGAGCCAGAGAATTATGGCTCAATCTGGGCGCCTGTGGGATAATCAAAAGGGATCCCACTCCCTTTACATGTGTAGATGGTCCTTTACTGGTTCCAAAAAGGAATGTCCACATCAATTGTTATTGGGGACTAAATTACTTTTAATAATCAAACAAAAAATATAAAATATAAATAAAATAGCAATAAAGTGCAAAAGTGAGTAAGTCCTCTATGGGATGCAAGACGCGTTTCGCCTAAGTTCTAGGCTAACTCAGTTGCTGTTATTACCTTCTTCTAATGTCCTTTTATGTCCAGTATATTCGACAGATTGGTCTATTCCGTATTGGTGCGATGTTTTCACTTCCGGTCGCATATACATGACGTACTTCCGGTTCGCGGCTGCTTCAGTCAATCGCTATTGGAATGCATATGCGTTCCACTCGTGTGAAAGTGCGTTCACTTCCGGTCGCACACTCATGACGTACTTCCGGTTCGCGGCTTCTTCATTCAATCGCTATTGGAACGCATATGCATATGCGTTCCACTCATGTAAAAACTTTATTGTTCATTTTGTCCATTAAATGTTGAATCATATACTTAAATTTCCATAAAGTGGAAAAAATTGGAGATGTTATACACGGGCAAAATAGTAAAATATCTTAAAAGAGAATGTTAAATACATCAATGTCAGCAGAAAATGTTAAAAAAGTAACAAAAAAGTATAAATATTAAAATATAAGCACCACATATACACTTCATGTAAAAAAATATAAATATAAAATGTAGCTATGTATTAAGAAAATGACATATTTCAAAATCTAAATTAAGCCCATTGGGCATAAGGGTGTTAAAATTAAAAATAAACTTCATTTCTTCTTTCCCTAACTTTTTGATATAATTACCTCCCCTCCAATCTTTTTGGACTGTTTTAATTGCACAAAAAAATAAACCTGTGGGGTCTTGATTATGAGAGATTTTAAAGTGCTGGGAGACAGAGTGTGTTTCAAGGCCTTTTTTAATATTGCGAACATGCTCCGCAATTCTTATGTTTAAGGGCCGTATAGTTCTTCCTATATACAGAAGATTGCAGGGGCACTTTAGAACATAGATGATACCTTTGGAATGGCAAGTGAGATGGTCTCTTATTTTGTATTGTTGTCCTGTTATTTCACTTATGTCTATTAAATGTCTTTTTTTGCTTTTTGTAACTCTACATGGTAGACAATCTCCACAGCCATAGAAACCTGTGAGGTTGCTAATAAAGTGCTTCGGTTTCATTGTTTCTAAATTGCTTTTCACAAGGATATTCTTTAACTTATTCGTACCTCTATATATCATCTTAGGTTTTGGGGGTAAAATATCTCTCTTAAAATATGCCAATGTTTATTGATTGCTCTTTGGATCTTTTTTGCGTTTCTGTTGTATTTACTAATAAACAGAATTTCTTGAAAATTCCTAGAAGTACTTCTAGGTTTGTACTCCAAAAGTTGACTTCTATCCAGAAGTCTAACTTCTTCCATACTATTCTTTAGATCTCCTTCATCATAGCCTTTCTCTATAAATTGGTTCATTATATATTCAGCTTGTTTCACATATTCTTCATCTTTTTTACAGTTCCTCCTTATTCTTTTAAATTGCCCTTTTGGGGCATTGGTAAGCCAGGGAGTGTGATGACAGCTGGTCCGATCAATGTAGCTGTTTGTGTCTACTGGTTTAAAGTAATTTCTAGTGAAAATCGTGGATTCTTGTATATAAATATTCAAATCCAAAAAATTTATATTTGTACTACTCACATTGCTGGTCAAATTAATGCCCCAATCATTGGTGTTAAGAAACTTGAGGAAATGGGTCAATTCGCAGCTGTTCCCCGTCCAGATGAAGAATATGTCGTCTATATATCTGCGATAGGACACCAAGTTCGCCCTCCAGTCATGGTCACCTGAGATGAAATATTTTTCCCAGTAGGCCATAAATAAATTGGCGTAACTGGGGGCGAACTTGGTGCCCATTGCGGTGCCGCAAATTTGAAGGTAAAATTGTTCTTGGAACCAAAAAAAATACCTTCTAAAATGAACTCTATCTGTTCTTTCTTAAAATCCGATTCCTCCAAAAAATATTGAGCTGCTTCGAGACCTTTTTGATGGGGGATGATGCTATATAATGAACTAACATCGCATGTCACTAAAAGGTACCCTTCCTGCCATTGGGTTTGTTCTAATATTTGAAGCATATGAATAGTGTCCTTGAGGTAGTATGGAGTTTTCACCACCACAGGTTGCAGCATAACATCTATATATTCTGATATCCGAGTGGATACCGAGTCAATGCCTGATATTATTGGCCTACCTGGTGGATTATGTTGATCTTTATGCACCTTAGGTAGGTGGTAAAACACCGGTACTTTGGGGTGGACAATAGATAAATATTTAGCTTCCTTTTCATTAATAATTTCTAGTTGTCTTCCTTTCAAAATATATGCCTCAAATTTTCTCTGTACCTCTCCCATAGGGTTAGATGGTAATTTTTGGTATGTCAGTGGGTCTAAGAGAATTTTCTCTGCTTCTTTAACATAATTGTCACTATCAAAAATAACGATACCTCCCCCCTTATCCGCTGGTTTAATTACAATATTTTTGTCCTTTCCCATCTCTTTTACTGTTTTTTGTTCCTTTCGGGATAAGTTCTGCTGATAGCTATTAGTTTTCTTAATTTTATTAACCTCTTTCATAACCACAATTTCAAAAGCCTTCATTTGGTCTGAGATCATATGTTTGGGTAAAAAGGTGGATTTTTCTTTAAGATCTGAATGTCTATAATTGTTCTCTTGTATAAGGGTCAAAAGTTCATTCTTTCCATGAAATAATTTTTTCAGAGATAATCTTCTAATAAAATGATTAAGATCAATAAAAAAAATCAAATTTGTTAAAATCTGAAGTGGGTGCAAATTTAAGACCTTTTTTAAAAATTTGTTTCTGTTCTATAGAAAGGTCCTTTTGTGTCAAAGTAAAAATTCCTTCTATATTCGTTTCCTGTTCCGTTTCTCTCTGTAAGCTAGATCTTCTTCCTCTTCTTCTTCTTCGTCTTCTTCTATTATTCTCTGTCTCTTCCCAGGAGACTCTTGAGGGAGTGTTTTTTGGGACCACTGTAATCTGTTGATGGTTGGGTCCTTCCGAAAAAACGAAGAAGATGGTTTATCCACTGAAGTTAGATCAGATCTTTGTCGTACATGATGTTTCCCAGTACTGGTTGTTGGTTCTAAATCTTGTGTTCTCCTATTTTCAATAGCCTTTTCTCTGCCATTAGTGATACATTCTCTTGGCATTTCGCCTTTAACTATTGAGCTATAACTTCTTTTATCATTCTTATATGTGTGGTTCTTTTGCCTTTGAGTGTTTGATTCCCAATAGGTATTTTTATACTGTGGGATTATGGCAGTGAATATTTTGGATCCCTGCATTTGTACCAAGCATTGGTCTATGTATGGCACTGGCCAACTAGACATATAGACACGTTTATTTAGCTGTCTTAAGTCAGCGCACAAATGCCATTGTTCATTAGGTTTCAGAATTCCCAGGATAGGATTATTATACAAACTGTGCACGTACAATGCCCCTTTCCTTTAAATTCTGAATGATCATATGAAGCTAATAGGAGTCTATATTGTTTGATAAATACAGGTGGTAAATTTGGATGTTTGTATTTGGTTACATGAAGGTTAGTTAACTCACAGTCGTAGATATCTTTGTCGAAAATATCTTGGAATTCCATAAGGATTTCTCTTAGCTGTTGCCGCTCAGAATCGTCGGAGCAACAGTGCACTTTAGAAGATATTTGCTCTTCAAGCCTTTCCTGAAATCCTGGAAAGATTTCTGGCTGACCTATCTTATAAGCTTCTTCAAGCCTAGAAGTTACGTTAGTTCGGTGTTGACTTACCTTTTCTTTTTGGTTGTGATATTCTTGTGGCTCCTGCTCAATGAGCAGATGATCGAAGGTGATCAATGCTTCTTCGATTTTACACGAGCCTTCTTCGATGTTAAAAGGATATACAGATAGCATAGTGAATAATCCTTCTGGGAAGGAATTGAATATTTGATAAACAATTTCGTACTCTTCAGGGATGAGGCCAATAATTTGGTTTTGGAAACCAAATGTATAGAACTTAGCATCTAATGCTAAACCTAATAATTTCCTTTTGGTAAAGTAACACTATTGGGTGTAACATTGTTGACTATTACATAGGTGGGCTTCATACCAATACTTACCATTGGTGTATATGTCACCACCATCCCTATTTGTTGTATTCTATGGGATAAACAGATTAGGGCATCAGAGTTTTTCAATCTCTACAGTAACCTGTCCCTTGTGGAATGGTTATGTAATCAGGTACTTGGATACTTACAGCATATGGTAGTATTTGTCCTGATTTCATGTTGGTATCCACAAGGATTACCTTTTAACCTTGTCCACGAGTTGGAGTTGATCAGGTCAAGGTATATGGCAAAGCGATGTATGACATCATTGCCAATGTAAACCTGATAGCGAGGTTCGTCTATCACTAGGAATAAATATTTAGCTGTCTTATTTCCAATGGAAATGGATAGTAAACATTTTGCTATCACATTGTGACTTTCTGATTCGCCATCCATGTTCTGGATCCAGCTGTCATGTGGGGAAATGTACCTGATCATTTTAGGATTAGCTTTCTGCTTTAACAGATTTCTGCTAATGTAGCTGTTCTCAATATTTAAGTCCAGCTTTACATTCCTACTTCTTCCTAAGTCATTTATTTGAATGTTTGTCTACAAGTTCAATTGCATCATTCACCTGAAGGATAGTCACATCAGGTGACTGACTATTCCTAAAATGCACCTCTTGAGAGTCAGGCCTTTCTTCTATCACATGGCACTTATGTTCAGATTGAATATGTGATTTCTCATAGGTTAACTTTAACCAGTTATTGCCAATAAAATAAAGGTCATTTCCTCCTACACTCAACAGAGCATTGGGGAACTATCTATTAACCCTTTAAAAGGTTGTGGTAGTGAATCCTGTATTTCTACAGACATGTAGTACCTTCCTTCATGTTCCTCTAATTCACATACGAATTTCGAAATGTGCCAATATATCACCCCTTTTCCATGCATTACCTGTCACAGCAGTAGTTTCTACCTGTACTGAGGAATTACCCACTAACCCATCCGGGAACTAGTGGTCGGCATCTCATCAGTTAACCCTTTCAGGTCTGGATCCTGGAAACTAGGGGCTGTTAAAGATATGTTAGCCTATGGATCATTTTGATCTGACTGCAATATAGAATAAGAGGTTGGAAACACTTCCCTTCCACATCTAAGTGGAGGTATTACATTGGCAACACCGTTTTTCACACAACTTTTGTGTGAATCACTGTGTGGAGCTGGAAAGGAAACAGGTTTAAGCATCACATCTATTGACAACCTAGCCTGTTTAGGTTGACTGGACATACCCCATCACTGACGATATCATTGTTGTAATATATTTTACTTTTTTGTGTTCAGCGAAGTCTCCCGAGTAAAACAGTACCCCCTTGGAAAGTTATAGGGTTAAATATAGTGCTAGCAAATTAAATTCCCTATACTTTTGGCCTGGGTTGTCAGGCAGGCCCCGCAAATTGTAATTAATAAAATGACCTAATTATGTAAAATTATTACATAAATATATACGTAGAATTATTATATATATATATACTGTATATAGTGATCTATACGTATATACTTATGTATATAGATATATATATTATTTAGTTTTACGTGTATTTTGATATCAATATATTTTTTAAGTAACGTTAGAATGAAATTACACATATATTTTGTTTTTTATTTTTTATTATTTTTTATTTAATTTTTTATGTATTTACATATTTATTTAATTTATATTATATATAAATATATATGTAATGATAATTATATATATTTAATTAATATCATTCTATGTGTATTTTGATATTAATAAATATTTCTTATTATATAAATTAATATTAAAATACACTTAGACAGTGTCTGTGTATTTATATGTATGTCTGTATATGTGTTTATATATATATATATATATATAGATCATATAAATAATATATATATATATATATATATATATATATATGATCTAAGTATATATCATTTAATTCTACACTGTTTTAAACAATTTTAAAAAAAAATTTCAGGCAGCAGGCGGTGTACCTGTCATTACAGGCACTCCCCCTGCTGGCACTGCCTTGGACGGCTATGCCCTCCATGTGATCACGAGGTCCTCACAAGGACCTCGCAATCACATGGTCCAGGGAGGCCCAAGAGGAAGGAGGGGGACTTCCTGGGCTCCCAGGTAAGTCCCCACACCGCGATCGCCGGTGTGGGATCGCCGGTGACCGGGTAAGTACATAGGACAGCGGGGACGTGCTCTGCCGCCCCCCAGCGTTTAGAGCTAGGTCCCTAAGGACGGCATAGCAAGCCTGCCATCCTTAAGGAGTTAAATGAATGTTTAGATATGGGCCCTGGGGTGGAGCATTCGGCGAGTAGGGTGGGCTGGAGCTCCACTCCTCAGTTTTTACACAACTGAGAGAAATAAGGTCCAAGCCAGGGTTTTGGACGGTCTCCAACCCACTGCTCAGCTGCAGGTAATCAGTTGCAGCAGTGGGAATAAACCCATCACTGCTAGGCAGGTAAAGTGTGATTTTTATTTTTTCTTTGAAGGCTGGAAGCAGCAGGCTGACTGAGCACTGGAGTGCAGAGAGTTGACAAGACACTAGGTTGGTGAAACCTGTATTGTTTTGTTATAGTTTAACCCTTGAGAGATAGGGAATTTGATGTTGGTAAGCACTCAGACGAGCTAGGATTTTGTTTACAGGGATTTCTATTATATTATTGTTTCTTTAATTTGCTGCTGTCTCCGTGGTGAATTTCAACAATAAAGTACCTGGATTTATGTTACTTCAAAAGTCTGTGCATGTTTGTACCCTAGAGGACCGTGCTAATTGCTATAAAGGATCACAATATGATGAAGAATATGAGCACATTAGTACATAGAGGGTCTGTGGGTGTGCCAGTCATCTGTTAATGATGACTTTTGTTTTGCAGATCTGTTAAACATACAAGAAGCACTTTAAGTGCCTTTAAAACTGTTATTTGCTTGGTGCTAAAATGGAGGACCTACTGAAAGCACTGATACAAGGAACTGCTGTACAACAAGAGGCAACTGCTGTACAACAAGGCACAAACCATTTACAGGCTGCACAAGTTGAAAACCTAAGGGACTCTCAGGAGGATAGAGCTGTCCTTACTTTGGTTTTGCAGAGAGTGTTATTGCCATGCACTGGGGGCCCCCCTGGGGACACGGGATCCCATATCCGAGCAACTGAATTCCTGCATAATGATGTTGTGGAGGCCTGGTAAAAGTGGCCATCAGACCAGTGGGCAGGGCTTCTAGCTCCATGCCTGAGTGGGGAATGCCAGAAAGCCTATGAAGATTTGTCCATAATGGCATACCATTTGCAATAATAGACAACCCAAAGTATTGCAAATGGGGTACGTCCAGTTTTTTTTAGTAGCCATTTGGTCACAAACACTAGCCAAAGTTAGCGTTAGTATTTGTTTGTGTGTGAAAAATGCAAAAAACGCCAATTTTGGCCAGTGTTTATGACTAAGTGGCTACTAAAAAAGACTGGACATACCCCGTTTGCAATACCTTGGGTTGTCTACTATTGCGAATGGTATGGCGTCATAGGGGTAATTTTCATTCTTGGGCTACCATAGGGTCTCAAAGGCAATGTAACCAATCTGGCCAATTTTAATCTGAAAAAAATTAAATATAAGCCTTATATTTGACACTGTAATTTTTGAAAACACCATAAAACCTGTATATGAGGGGTACTGTTGTACTCGGGAGACTTTGCTGAACACAAATATTTGTGTTTCAAAACAGTAAAAAGTATCACAGCAATTATATCGTCCGTGTAAGTGCTGTTTGTGCATGAAAAATGCAAAAAACTTCACTTTTACTGGCGATATCATCGTTGTAATACATTTTACTGTTTTGAAACACTAATATTTGTGTTCAGCGAAGTTTCCCGAGTAGAACAGTACCCCTCATGTACAGGTTTTATGGTGTCTTGGAAAGTTATAGGGTTAAATATAGTGCTAGCAAATTAAATTCCCTTTACTTTCGGCATGGGTTGTCAGGCAGGTCCCGCTAATTGTAATTAATTAAGATGCCTAATTATGTAAAAATATTACATAAATATATATGTAGAATTAATATATGTATATATATATATATATATATATATATATATAT